ATCAGGCAGAGATGAGCTGGTGACTAGTTCCCCTCCCAGACTCGTTCTGCGCGTTCGCCTTCGGTTTCCTCCCTCGAGATCAACACTGCGAGAAAAAGTCATTTCAGCTCTCTCTCCTTCAGCTTAGCCTCTTAGTCAGCAGATAAATCGTGATTTGAAACGGGAAAGAGCTAGTTTTTCTTTCCCAATTCGCAAGGCAACCATGGGTTGCTGTTGTGCAAAGTCGAAGAAAGACAAGTATGCAGCCAACGACGAACCCGGCGGCAGAAACTTGCCACCGAACGGTCAAGCGAATGATCGACAAATGGAACCAAAGCGGGTTTCTAGTCCGATGGACGGTTTAAATGCTCACCAACCCTCGTCCATTATGTCGAGTCACTCGATAATGCAGCCATCTAAAGGCATAACGGTGTTCATTGCCCTGTATGATTACGATGCGCGGACCAAAGAAGACTTGAGCTTTCGGAAAGGCGAGCGACTTCAAGTTATCGATAACACGGATACCGACTGGTGGCTGGCTAAATCTTTGACCACATTCAATGAGGGGTACATACCGAGCAACTATGTAGCACCTGAACTAAGTGTTCATGCCCAAGAGTAAGTAAATATTTTCTATTTTACAGCGTAGTCTGTGTGCTAAACATCACCGGAAAGATATTTATATAACTTTAATAGTTGAATTCTCGTTCGGTCGGTCGCGTACTAAATTGATGATCTTTGGAGCTTCATTCTATGACACTTCCGCTAGTTTGTTTCCGAGCGAACAATTTTTACTCATTTCACGTGAATAATGTAGCTGATTTATTTTAAATAAATCGGGGGAATAAATCCGGAGATGTTTGTTCCTTTAAAACTAAAGCTTGAAGCATGGAATGCTACAAAGCTTGCGCGTGGGGAGGAATTTATATCAATCCAGTTGATTCACGCGTGCGATAGTGAAAAGTTCGTTTTTATTTTCGATTTTCCTGATCTGTACTATCGACCTTCTAGCTCGTTGCTGGACAAGTTTTGTTTTGATCGAGTTATATCTTATACTTTTCCGATCTTTAATCGTCTGCCCAACTATTTATGGCTTTCACTTCCGGGATGAAATGCATGTTGTCATTTCAAAGTTTAATTTCTTCGCCTTTTTTTATTTTGTAATGCAAATCAAACGAATAGAATGCCTGTGGTTTTGAAATTCAAAGTTCACTTTTCCTCAGACGAGGCTTTTTTTGTTTAGGGAGGTAACTTGTGCGAAGCGTTAACCTTTTTCTTGGACGAATGTTTGTGTTTCAGACAAATAAATATTTTCTTCCGGACTTTCAACTTTTTCCCGTTCTCTTTAAATTGACAATCTTGTTTTCCTATTCATGAAACTAAACCCCGTCAAGAGTACTGGCGATATGTTCTTTTAAGAAATTATCAGTTTGGCACAAATGTAACTGATACATCCTGAATATTTTAAAATTTCTTATATATTTTTTTGTATTTTGGGTCAGACTTGCTAGTAAGTTTTATTTATTTTCTTGTACTGATAACATCTGCCTTAACTCCATTTTTTGATTGCTGTCACCTGATGTCATTTGGCTGTCTCTTGTAGTTTCATGCAAATAGTCCAAGCTACTATCTTATTGGTACTAATTTCACATGTCTTTAATAATTTTCAAAATCACAAAATTAAGACCTGCAAATAAAAATTCTCATGAAATTTAAACATGAGAAATAAAATACAGTCAAATCCCATTAACACGGACACTAAGATGGCCGCAGAGAGTGTCTGTATTTAGGTGGTGTCCGTAAAGCAAGGTTTGACTTAGCCTTCCACACAGGTGTGTACTCATAAAGACAGTTCAAGTCACAGAAAAAAAATTGTATGTAATAACTACTGCCACCTGAAGAATCGAAGATATGCAATATTAAATAAATTTTAGATGATGTTTAGAGATATTGTTGCAAAGTACATGTACATACTGAGACAATGTGTATCCAAGTAACACTACACTTAACAGTTGACAACTCTTGAATTGCAAAATGCAATGCCCTTTTTTTCATATTTACCTAAGAAATCATGAAAATAAAACCCCTGTGAAATACTTTCTTGCCAAAATTGCAAAATCAAGTATGCACGAAATGAAATGTATGTAGCTTATGATAGTAATGAATGTGAAAATGGTAGTATTTGCATGCATGTTTCAAGAAGTTATTTGTTTGAAATGTTACTTTGGTGAAATTCCATGGCATGTTAATAGTCTACTTAATTGTGAAACTACTGTACATGTAGCCAAGTGTTATCAGTTGATTCTCATGTGTATGCAAATGATGATACATCAGATAATGTGATTGGCTGGCAAAACCTCTTCAGGATTAATCTCTGTGTCCATGTTTGATAAGTTTTATTGACCCTACCCATTTTAAATACTAACAATTTGTAAGGTGCTATCTTGAATAATATGACTGTCAAGTCTAGAGTCAGCAGCTTTTAAAGCTTCTGAGCCCTCAAATCATCTTTTGGCCATCAGCTAAATCAGAGACTTACTGAGCAAGACCGTGGAAAAGGATTCTCTAAAGAACTTCACATGTTGAAAATGCCTAACAGTTTTAAAATCCTATTTGCTATATTTTATCTCAGCTGGTTCTTTGGCAAGATTAAGCGTGCTGAAGCTGAAAAGAAACTGCTGGCGCCAGGAAGCCCCTCTGGTACCTATCTCATTCGTGATTCAGAAACAATGCCTGGAAATTATTCACTGTCTATACGAGATGGTGACAGTGTGAGACATTATCGTATACGCAAGCTAGACAATGGAGGCTACTATATCACAACAAGAGCACCTTTCACAAGCCTGTCAGAGTTGGTGGAGCACTACAGTCTGGATGCTGATGGCCTGTGTTGTCGACTTGTCTATGCATGTCGTGCAGAGAAGCCAGCTACTTCAGGGCTTTCTTACAATACTAAAGATGCTTGGGAAATTTCGCGGCATTCAATTGCTCTCCAGAGCAAACTGGGAGCTGGACAGTTTGGCGAAGTGTGGGCTGGGCTTTGGAATGGAACAACTCCAGTTGCTGTGAAAACTCTTAAACCAGGAACTATGTCACCGCAGGCATTTTTAACTGAAGCAGCCATCATGAAGAAATTGAGACATCAAAATCTTATACAGGTATGTCATGAAATGGTTGTCCTAATATTGGTTTTGATATTTAATTGTTGTTGCATTTATGAAAACATCAAATGTATGAAAAACAACTTGGCCAGTGATAGGTATTTTTTACTTCACTCAGAGATGTCAGAGACCATTTTCCCTAAATTGTGGTAATATTAAAGCAAGTGTTGCAAATGTTGCCATAGTTCTTCGGTGGATACAACCAACTTTAAGTCACAGCACAGGTTAGTTTTTATTCCAACCAAAACGTTCATGCACACAGTATACTATGATGTGGGCTGATGCAATAGATGGACAGGTGTCAATCTGGTGTTACTGTCTTGTGCTACAATACTTTGGGTTACAAACATCTGGTCACAAATTGAGTTCATATGCAACAGAAAAATGCTTTCCAAACCTTGTAGATAAAGTCAGTTATCCTTTAGTCTGCTCAAACTGGCTGCATACTTTAAATTTTATAGAAACACTGCTTACCACATTAATAAAATGCTCATAAAAGCTATTATAATCAGATGTTCCCAGCTTTTATTACCTGAAGTATTCCTACGTAGATTTTTATATAATGGGAATTCAACAGATGTTGATGGGAACATAAATTTTTGTTTAATCCTGTTTCTCATTTAATCTCATTTAAGGAAGAATGAAATGCAAACAATCGGGGTAGATACACTAATGTGGAATGAGTGGAATTTCTGCATTAATTTTGTTCCCCTGATTTCATTTCATGGGGAAACTACATGCAGGGTTGTCACTAAGATTTCAAGTTGCTGGGTAAATACAACAAGTAGACAGGGAATCAAACGGCTAGGGATTTCTTTTGGTTCTATTTTTCTTCTATTTTCCAATAAATGTAGCTGGGGGCCACTCTCTTAGTAGCTGGGGAAAATCCCCGGCCCCTGGCTATTAATGACAAACCTTTTGTGCTTTAAAATACTTATGCCAGTTACACTGTCCTTGCATTTACAGCTTTATGCAGTTTGTACCCAGGAGGAGCCAATTTACATTGTAACAGAGCTTATGAGGCATGGAAGCTTGCTAGAATATTTGAAGGGAGAAGGGAAAGATCTCAAGCTACCAGAATTGATTGACATGGGGGCACAAGTCGCTGCTGGAATGGCCTACTTGGAACGGATGAATTACATCCATCGTGATTTAGCTGCAAGAAATATCTTAGTTGGTGAGGGGAATATCTGCAAAGTTGCTGACTTTGGCCTAGCAAGACTGATCGAAGATGATGAGTATAACGCTCACCAAGGAGCCAAATTTCCAATCAAATGGACAGCTCCTGAAGCTGCTCTTTACCAAAAGTTTACCATAAAATCTGATGTGTGGTCGTTTGGCGTGCTGCTGGTAGAATTGGTTACGCATGGTCGGAATCCTTACCCTGGTATGACAAATGCCGAGGTGCTGGCCCAGGTGGAGCGGGGATACAGGATGCCTCAGCCCATGAACACCCCAGATGCTCTTTACCAAATTATGCTTGATTGTTGGAAGAAGAATGAGTGGGAAAGACCAACATTTGATTATCTTCAATCAATATTAGAGGACTACTTTGTCTCAACAGAGCCTAATTACAAGAAGTTGGATCCATAGGTGAGTCATTCAATGAAAAAAAAAAACCCTGAAATCGTGTTCTGTGGTTTTGCAGTAAAATGCATAAAGTTTTTGGTATTGGTCACCATGGAAATCCTGATAATTATATACCACCTTGAAGATAAGTATCAGGTGTTAGTAAAGTATGCTATTTGCTGAATCATGCAGGACAAAAACTAAAAATTCTGGAGGGGCAAACTCTTAAAGTAGTGGTAAAACTATGTTATTTGTTCCTTAAAAGAGACTAGTGGTTAACTTTTGGAACTACAGTTGCCCGCAAGCTTGAAATCCATGTATATTATACTGTAGTTGGGTGCCAAGTGGCTCCTGGCAAAAAGCTATTTTTATAATCTGAGAGGGTAAGTAAAGGTTGAAAATATCATTATTACTTCCTGTGTTTTCAATAAAAATTGAAGTAGCATGGCAGCAGGTGTGAATTGGAGTAACCCAGGGTATCAATGAGAGGAGTCTGAGGGTGTGCTCTCCCAGAAAATTTTGACATTTTTGAAGCCCCAAAATGCCATTTTCAACATTTTGGGACACTAAATTGAGTCAAAAAATGATAAAGAAAGATTCCTATCAAAAACAGCATTTTCTTATTTTTACAATAATGATCATCAGTAATGAGCTAAGATAATTACAGTTTGTATGCATTTCCTGGAAATGATTTTAATGAAAGCAAGTGGACCGTGTGTAACACACTGCATTTCATGCAAAATGTGAGCAACTAAAGTCACTAGTCTTATTGTCCCTTTTTAGTGGTATGACCATTTTCCTTATCCCACATTCCCATTCCTTTTTCATAAAAATCTTGCATCCCACACTGTTTTCACCACTTTCCCGAATCCCCTTTTTTGTTTTCAGAATACATAAGTTGAAAAGGTTTAATAAAAGCTTGTAAATGTAAGATATAGATATAA